ATGAAAAGGCAATTATACATTTACACACCTAAGGATTATATCAACCAAAAAAGTAACTGCGTATGTGTCCTCTACATGGTTCCTTCTCATAAATGAGTAAGCCGCAATTAAAACAATTATAAGCATATAATACACACTGTTTCTCAATATTTAATTACAGCTTCAGATGCATAATATTTTCATCTCCTTCAAGCAGAATACACAAAAAGCACGTTCAATTCGGATGGCTGTCGTGGTAATAAACACCGTAAACAGCAACCGTTCGCGTGTCAGCGCTTAATGCGCATCTCTTATATGAAAAGCATTTTAGGGGGCCCTTGGCATTTGGGGACCCAAGGCGGTCACCTACCTCTGCCTAATGGGTAAGTTCGCCCCTGCCATGGACGTTAACGGTTCTTCATGGAACCATATATAATCTTTATTTTTAAGAATGTACGAGCTTCAAGGTCCTCGGGAGCAAATGTGCTAATGCTAGGCCATGGCTCCAAAAACCTGGATAACGTTTGGGATTTGTATATGCATATTTTTGGATATGTTGCGAAACTTGACTAGAAACACTCACCATTTTCTGGCTGGTCCTTGATGTCGCCTTCACTAGGCTGGTTCGGACTTTCAGACTGCCCCGCTTCTGTAGAAAGACACACAAAGAAAAAGAAAGTGAGATTTTGTTTCATGACCACAATGAAATCATGCACTTGACAGCCTCTCGAAAACTGTTTCTGCAGTCCTAAGACTCAAGATACAAAACGTCTAGTCCAGAGTACCAAGGAATCACCATGCTGATCATGCAGTCTGGCAGCCAACCGCACACTGGCCACACAGGTGAAATCCTATGCTGATGTGTGTACACAGGAGGCCACCGTGTTGCCGGTTCAATAGAGCTGACTGCTGCCACAGTATAGGCCGACAGACAACTGCATGCGTCGTAAAAATACTCTGTCTTTCTAGGCTTTAAATGACTGCGGATGTAATTTAACAGGTTAAGTAATGTGGTTTATTAAATATATGTATTTATATATATATATATATATACTGTATATATATGAACAATTTATATATTTTTAATATTTAAATATATATGTGAACAATAAGGTAAATTACTTTTTTTAAATATATATTAAGATGTACAATTATAATAAAATATAAATAATTCCAATTTACAAAATAAAATAAAAGTGATTATATAAATCTGTGATTATATAAATCAATTGACAGGCCTAATCGTAAATTTCAGACTGTATTTATTAGCATTCAGATGTAAAGGGAAGTTATCGGAATAGAAGGTCTGACTGTACTCTAGCCAATGTCCTTTTGGCACGCGGCTCGGTAGGTCAGACCGACAGTGGGGTCTGGGCTGTGAATTCACACTGAGTGTGCTATTTGCAGCCGAGGCACTTATGGAAATAAGTCTAGAGAGAGAGAAAGCCTTCAGACCTGGGTGTACTGCATAAAAAAGGCCCTATAAATTTGATGGGCTCCGATTTCTCCCAAGAAGTGCTCTTTAACGGTGCCATTAGCTGCGATAGCAATGATTCGTGCCGTGACGTTAAGAGAACTTTCGCAAAGATTCACCCGGGTCCCTTTAACTCTTCTACGACAGCCAAAAATTGCAAAGAAACACCCTTTAAGATGATTTAGAAGCTGGGGTGAGTATTGATTTCCCACTGGAGATAAAATAGTCATGCTGGGAGAAATATTACCTATGTCACGCTAGCAAGCACACGAAACAAAATGGCTGGCGAAGTTGGGATCGGAATCTGATTCATGACTTTTTACATTTTAATTTTTGGCAGAATACATGTTAAAAATATCACTTTGAAACACAAATTAAACAAAGTCTAAACAGCGCAAAAATTAGTGTACAAAAATGCTCATGGAAAACTAACTTTTAATAAAAGAAGAAAAAGATTCATGACCTTTTCACTTAATTTTTTTTTTTTTGGCAGAATATGTTGAAACATCACTTTGGAACACAATTTTAACTAAATGGCGAAATCTCAGAAACATCAGCTAATCACAGAAAAGGAAAAAGATACAAGACTTTTTTTCACTTTAGTTTTTGGAAAAATAAACTTTAAAACTTCACTTTGGAACACAAATGTAACTAATAGGCTAAATTGCGCAATAACTAGCATACAATAATTCTTCAAATTGGGTAATGAATAAATCATGAAAACAAATTTTTGATAAAAGAAGAAAAAGATTCATGACCTTTTCACCTATTTTTGGGCAGAATATACGATAAAACATCACTTTGGAACACAAATGTAACAAAGGCTAAACTGCACAAAAATGCGGTTAACGATAAATACGGGAAAGAAAAAACCCCCTCCCGCCCGAAATAAACAACAAAAAAAGACACTAAACAACAAACAACTAAATACCGTGCACAAACAGGCCCATTCACCAGGCCTAAATCCTCTATACAAGAGCATAACAAGCCACTCTATGGGCCGCCGATTGAAAGACAGAGGAGGGATGGTTCCTGCATAGGCCTTGTTTGCATTCTGCTCAGCATTACCGTCTGCATCAACAGTTTAAAACAAAGGCAATCTGAAGAGTGGGCCGAAACAACGAAGAAAAAAAAAAAAAAAACACGCAGCAACACCCCCCGCCCCAGCAACAGCCCAGAGATATGTGAAAGCGCAACCAAAGGGGCCGGGTGGGTGCGTGTGTGCGGGGACTTTCACACACTCTCCCAGTTGCCCTCCGCGGACCAAGTGCTCTCTCACACAGTGCCCATTGCTAATTAAATATGCAAATGAGGCGTGAGACCCAGACTCTGTGTGTCACATCTGCATTTACCCCCTGTCGAGGGCCCTCGGAGAGCGAGGGGGGAAAGAAAAAACCCCCTCCCGCCCGAAATAAACAACAAAAAAAGACACTAAACAACAAACAACTAAATACCGTGCACAAACAGGCCCATTCACCAGGCCTAAATCCTCTATACAAGAGCATAACAAGCCACTCTATGGGCCGCCGATTGAAAGACAGAGGAGGGATGGTTCCTGCGTATCTCTAATTTTGTTCTCACACCATCAAAAAGATGGGAACGCCGCTCGGGTTTGGGAGAAGAAAAGCAACCTGGAGTGACTCAGTCGACGTGTTATTCCGCCTCGATTCGACAACGGAATTCATTACGGAACAATCGAAAAGGGACGCCGAGGTAAAATGACGTCGTTTAGCGTCTGATAACAAGCCTGGGATAATTGAGACGGGCTCAGGTTGCTTGAACGTGGCCGAATTAGTCGGCGAGGTGATTCCCTAATTAGATCATTAGGACCGGCTTGCGGCGGCAGGCAGGTTGGGCAGGAGCGTTATGCCCCCTGGCCTGCCTCCGACTCCGACTGCCTCCTTCCTCTCCCAGGCCAGGCCGAGGGCTTTAGGGGGGCGTGTGCATACACTCACACACACACACACACACACTGTTTCATTATGCATGCGCTAAACCATCTGTACTTCTCGCAGGTCCGCTCATCCCAACCCGCCGCTTTCTCACCAAGTGCTTTGCTGTAATCCAATTGTGTGTTAAAACCCCGCTTTCAAAAGGCCCTTTACACAGTGGGCTCAGGAACACGAAGGCCCATAAAAGGAGGCAGAAACTTAATTTAGAAATACAAACGGGCCTTTCTGGAGTATCAATGGAAGGTGAAGCTCCAGGGATTGGAGCATTGTTTCCACAAGTATCGTCCCCAGATTTTTTTTCTTTCGGGCCGCCACAGACATTATGAGATGGTGGGTGCCGGATTCCTGCGTGGTCGCACTCAAGACTATCCGGACTATCCGAGGAACTCGGAAGGAACGTGTTTTAGAATGATCGCCACAGCAACACAAATATGCATTTTTGTTTTGTTTGGGGGGAGCAACATATTTGGGCCATGATGCACATTACATAAAAATGAAATAATTTCTGGGAACTGCAATGAGTCACAGATGGGGAACATGTCGATGAAACCTGAAATTGTGAGCGACGTGAGAAAAAAAAGGAGGAAAGGCAAGAGAAAACGAGTAAATCAAGTGGAATATGCAATATTAAACAATCTCTAATAATTTAACGTTTATAAAAAATGCACAAATGTTAATATAAAACCATTTTTCAACAAATTTTAACAAATTATTAATATTTTGTCATGTCGTATTCCTTTGTTTTAGTCCATTATGCTTTAAAAGGCATTTGATTTCAGGTGACACTATGAATAATTTGAGCCAAAAGACAACTAAATTATGATCAAATGAATGATGCTCAGTTGAAAATGAAAGTAATTGTCAAAATCTTTCATGAATGAATAAATTGTTAGTATTTGGTAGTAGGTGCAATTTAGGTTAATATATATATATTTTTTTAATATGATCAACAAAGCTGCTTTATTTGACAAAAATTCTATAAAAACAGTAACATTGCAGAATTTTATTACAATTTAAAATAACCGTTTTGCATTTGAATATATTTTAAATGAAATGTATTCCTGCTATGCAAAACTGAATTTTCAGCATCATTACTCCAGTCTTCAGTGTCACATGATCTTTCAGAAATCATTCTAATATGCTGATTTGTTGCTCAAGAAACATTTATTATCATCAAGTTGAAAACAGTTTTGCTGCTTAATATATGTATCTGCAACCTTTTTTCAGAATTCTTTAACGAGTATGAAGCTGAAAAGATTTTTTTTTTTAACTTTATAAATGTTATTTGATTCATTTAATGCATCCTTAATTAATAAAATAATTGTTTTCTTAAAAAAAAAAAAAACTAAAAAACTTACTGACCCCAAACTTTTGAATGCTAGTATATATGCACACACACTGTATCACCATTTCATACCAAGACAGGTTGTCATTCTTCTGCGTTTGTTTCCGTCAGGCCACTGCCTGTGTTCAGTGTTTGAGTAACCCTGACCTCTCCCCTTGCGCTTTTACGTCACACCGTATTTAATAAGAGGCAGTGTTTAGACAGGACCTTCTGCTTCTCCTCTATAGATCAGCCCGTTGCCGAGGCTTGCACAGTTTTTCTTCTCTCGTGGAGCGTCGCTTGTTTACACTGCTGTTTTCGGAGGACCGGGAAGCGAGACGGGAGAGGATAGTGTTACAGGCCGTGTTTACAGATCCTGTCTGGATTTTGAATAGTAATACTGGTGTGTTTTCTTTCGTTCTTCTGTAACTTTTGAGAAATACAGAATGCACTTTTAAGGACAGGGACCAAGGTAGGGAGCCCTAGCGGCTTTGATGTGCTTCAGTCAAGCTCGTACACCAGACCAGGGTGTGTAAAAATGAGCAGAATCCACGCTGCGGTCTCCCAGCGATGACATTATGGGATCATTGTGGTACAGTAAACCAACTATTGCAATCTGGCAAAAAGCAATAAAACTACCCGAGTTTCAATTATTCTTTAGTCAGTGTGATTTGAGCTATTCCCTCTTGCAAATATAAAGGTAAATCAGACTATAAGAGAGAGCTATCAATAAGCGCTAGCGCGGTAAAGGAATGCCATGTTTCCTTACTTGAACTTGTAAATCAGCTCTTGTGCTAGCGGTGTAAGACAAGCTGTCTGGATTGCCAAGCTACCGTTACCAAGACACAAAAGCGGGACATTCCTGACTTATTTGAATCCTTGTTCCCCCTGGACTGGCG